AAACCTCAGACGTCATTGCCTGACTCACCATTCTGTCCAAAACAAACCTCAGACATCATTGTGTGACTCAACACTCTGTCCAAAACAAACCTCAGACGTCATTGCCTGACTCAACACTCTGTCCAAAACAAACCTCAGACATCATTGCCTTTAATACTTAGCACACCGTCCAAATCTACCCCTAGAGGTCACTGCCTAACTTGGCACTCTATCCAAAACAAAACCCGAGATCACTGCCCGACTTAAGATGCCGTCCAAATCTACCTTCAGAGAGCATTGCCTGCTTCAGCGCTCTGTCCAAATGTACCCTCAAGTCACTGCCTGACTTAGCACTGTGTCCAAAACAAACCTCAGAGGTGTTACCTGACTCGACACTGTCCAATACTGCCTCAGAGGTTACCGCCTTTCTTACCACTCTCTCCAAAATCTACCCTCAGAAGTCACAGCTTTGTACTTGTATCACTTAAAGTATGCAACAGAATATTCAGGGTACATGTACAGTCTGTGTTTCTTCATGAAACCACAGTAACAAATCCAGGAATAGCAAATTGTATAATTGGAAATTTAATTCTAATAGGTAGAATACTTGGTTGCATGTAGACTTTTTACGATACAAAAGTTGCAACAAATTCGGGTAGTTCTAAGAATATAACAAGGAATGATTAATACCTGTACTGCATGTACAGCTACAAAAAGTACATGTACGATATGTGCACATCGGTGACAAAATCACATCTAAAGAGTACTGCACGTCACCTGGACACTGCAAAGCCTACAAAGGTTTGAAATCCATGAATGAACCAGGATTTGAATGTCACAACCAGACTTACCTGCCTGATGGAAATTTTAGAAAACAGGTCAACAAAAATTCCAAATTCTAATATAGCAGCTAATGCATTTCCCATAATGTACAGTTTTTGTGCATGCACTGTGCACATCCTCAGCCCAGTTTAAATCTTCCCATCAGCCAATCTCTTCGTCGTCAGCGAAGGGTATCAAAGTAGAAATAAGTCAAAACAGATTTTCATGAACACTAAAAAGCAGACTGAATGAGAGCTTTCTATTTAAGCCAAGCGTATTTATATACAAGTACAGGCTACATTTCAGTTCGAGATCAGGTTTATTCAAAAGATACTACTTTAATAGTCACAAATTACAAAAATCTTTCCCAAGGGTAAATTAGAAAGGCACATTAAAAGTATTAAGAATATATGTACATATATGGAAAATATACTACAGTACATGTCAGGTACTGTCCGAAGAAAATAATGACTTTTGGAAGAACTTGAAGAAAATGAAGAAATTTTTTAAAGATTTGTATGAACAATCTTTCTTTACAGTTTAAGGGAAGAAAACAAAAAATGCCCTCATAAAATATGGCAATTCATCTACCTCTAGGGCAGTAATTATTTTATAAATATATAAAAATATTAAAATATAGAATTTCTAACAAGTTTCGGGGGACAAGTTGAATTATGAACCCACCAAAAAAACAAAAAACAAAAACAAAACACAACAAAATTAACACTATTTATTCCTGATGGTTTTTAAGTGCTTTGAAAAATAAACAATGGACTAAATTTGATTATTTTTTTCTCCTCCGACCCTCGGTAAGTTCATTCCAGGGGGTAAATGGAACTTGGAGAGTTTTTTCATTTATCCTCCGACAATGCAGAATTGCATGCTATATTCATAATCCAATAAATAACCAAAATGGGGCCTAAATTTCAAATTAACTGCAGTGATTGTAATAAAAGCTTCTTGCATTCTTAGGAGACTGCTCACAATCAGCCCTCTGTGGACCTGCACAAAGTGAAAAGCAACAGGAAACAATGCAGCTATTGAGTCTTAATAGTAAAATTTCCAATAGGCCTCTGGCCTGATGAATACATTCATTTGTAAATTGTAAAAAAATGTACATGCATGCTTTCCTATGGAGCTCAGTGGATTGTGAGCCCCCATTGCCACCATAGAAAATACAGGTAAAAGTGTGGCAGTACAGAGGCTTACTAAGAAAAATGAATATAAAAGAGTAAAAACTCACTTATTCTTAAAAGATCATCCACATACTCCCTTGCATTCAACTGTGTGAATTCACCAAAGACAAGTCGTAATTGGTAAAACAGGACTTTTATGACAATCGGTCCAGCCCCCCCCTGAAAACCTTTAGAACAAACCTGTATTCGAAAAACATACCTGTTGTAATGATTTTCTTTTCATTATTTGGTAAGTGGTTATGCCTTTATGGAATTCCAATGAAAATTGACAACAAAACCATTTACACTTCACTCTTTTGTAAAATCTTTTCCTTTTTGAAGAAGTGAATATCAACTTTAAGTGAGTCTCCATGTCATCGGACCAAGTTTGAACGACTGGTAGATGTGCACATTTTCAAAATCTGCTGGACTTACTATTCACACTGAATAGAATACGGCCGCTTCACAATAGTGCGCCCTCAAGAGTTTGCAACCCGCGAAATTTGTCGACCCAATGCGCATTTGGAAAGGGTCGACAAATTTCGTACGTTATGATTGGCCAACGCGTTGCAAACTCTTGGTGGCGCACTACTGTGAATCGCCCGTATTAATTAGAACTAACCACTAAAAAAACAGTTTCTCACCTGTATACAAACTACTGTTGTGTTGATTGGTGTCTTGTTTTGTTCGGTGATTAAGCATCTCCAAGCTGGCTGGGGTTCTGATATTCCGGACCATGGGCCGATACTGATCCATTGCAAAGTTGAACGACAATGCTGTATCATTCAGAAATAAAATAGGTTAATAAAGGGCAGATGGAAATTTACCTCTAGTTTGGGTCTACATGTAATGATATTTCACTGACAGGAATTCATGTATACAAAGGCACTGGAAAGGTCCTGTCTCGGACAACATTGTCTTGGAAGAAATTCCATGTTATTAAACAATATTTTGAAACATGTTTGTACCACCCACTGATGTGCACATACTTTGAATGAAGCAACTGAAAGAGATATAGGTATCAGATGCATTCGCCAGATTTCCATTTGACTGAGTTTGATTGTTTAGCATATGCCACTATCAATAAAGCTTCACAGACTGCATTGTTTTCAAATAATACACTTGAAAGAAACTGGCAATACTTTGTCAATAATTAAATGACTTGTCTTCCATACAAACAATGCTTTATTGAGTGGTGTTCACATCGCTAATTCTAGATAGGACAGTGGAAGTACCAAACACACTGGGGTCTTCCCATTGTAATCTCCTTGTGTAGATTATAAAGTATGAAAAAAAAGAAGAAATTGCTCCTTTTGGACTCAGTTAAGCCAACAGTGCACTTTCTCTGCATGCTATTTTTCGGACTTTCAGCATGATGTATAGATGCCATTTACAAATGTGGTGAACATTGAGGGTGGTTAAGGGGGCAATGTGAGGAGCATATGGCGGTGTATTTTTTCTGATGAACTCAACAAAAGAAGTCAAGACTTTGGTTTTGGGAATCCAGTCTAGTAGCTAGGACAATCTGTACATACCTGCAGGGGATGGGATGTAACGCTGGTAGTGAGGGCGTGCTCTGCTGACAAATGAGGAAGAATGCTGTGGTTCGCTAGCCATCTGCTTGTTGCCTACAAGCCAACATAACATATGTGATAAATCTATGATAGACTGAATTTCAAGAGAGACAAATAGGTGAATCTTTTTTTCTGGAACTAAATTTCAATTAATACATGTATTCCATGGAATTATACATTAACTTGCCAGTGCATTCTGGGCAATCAGTGGGCTTGTTAGGTATGACATCATGGACAGAGTGGCATGTGTGAGCGTTTCTTTGTCCCTTCGATTCTTCCAGCAGGGCACGACTTGCACTTGTCACAGTCAATAATTTGCACACCGAGCAACTTTTGACCGGCACACGCAGTTTCCCCTCATGATTTCGGTTATCAGCATTGAACAGAAGTGCCCCCTCATCGATTGAAAAGAGCCACGTTGGTGGGAAGTATTTAACAGCTCTGTCCGAATGTGTTGTTAGAGTTAGATGTACGTCTTCACTGCACTGAAAATATGCGGAGACGCGCTGACAACAGACATAGCCACAGCTCTAAAAGCCCCTTTTGGACACGGCAATGCAATATCTCATCCTCAAGCCTGGTTTCCAGAGCATCATTTTCTATGAACAGAGATACATGTAACCAAATTGGGAGCAATCTATGCACATCCTCTGGTTTAATGTGCTTTAAACAAGTGAGGAAGTACAACGGCGCAACAACAAAATGTATTTCCCGCAAGATACACTACTGCTATGAAAAAAGCACCTTCTCCTGCTCCCACTCTGGATGGATGGACTTGAGTCACTGACTTGGTCTTGAGTCAGACTTGAGTTGCTTTTTGTTGACTTGAGACTTGAGCTGACTTGACTTGACAAAATATGACTTGTGACTTGACATGAATAAACTTGACTTCTTGACATTACCTTTTAAATGACTACAACCACTTCACCACACAGAGTTTAAGAGAAGACTTTAGACTATTTAATATTCAAATAAGGTGTTTTAGCGAGAATGTTTGACAAGTATGCAAGTTATTTGTGAATTCCCCTTACTTGATGCACTCCTTGAAACAGCCACATCAAACAGATAAACTGATTTTCGTTCATGCTAATGATTTTAATGTGCCAGTGCAGATGGGAACAATGCTGAAGCATGTTCTTGCAAGTGAAGTACATGTAATTTCAAATTGGCTTGACTTGAGACTTGACTTAAAGGTGGTGTACACCATTGGTAAAATCCTGAAAATGGGACTACCACATATTCCTCAAATATCTTACTTGAAGGAAAGTACATAACAGTCTCAATCAGTCTGTAAAATATTTCCACCCAGAATGTTGTAATTTTCAAGAAAACAAACATTTTGTTTTTTTTTTACGATGGTCGGCCGACCATCGGAATAGAGTTCATTTCACTTCGCACATCACATCCTCTAACAGGCACCAATTTTCTATTTGGGCCAATGTAGTGTTTGCAGATGTTGTGGGAGTCTCCATTAATGAACGGATAAACCTAAAAGCAGCCAAAAATATACCAACATTTTTCTTTTACCAAAAACACTGTGAACTGAAATTACAGAAACCTGAGTGTTAGGCGTAAAGTAGAAAATAAATTGGATCAGTTTGAAGTTGAATTTTATTTACGGAAATTTTTCTTTAATGGGAAAACGTTGCGAATTCAAAATCACCCCTAGATAATAATGGTAGGATCCATTATGGCGGCTGTTTCCGAGCATGATGATTCTCGTCAACAAAAAGTACGATTTCCACATGTTAATCATCCCTTGTTCAAGACGTAATTCTTTTTTACTTATAATAATTATTAATGACTCAACTATGAATGCCGCTTTAGACTTTCACGCGACGGGTGGACTGACATGAAATAGCCGTTATAAACACGATCGCGCCCATGTGCATTATAATATAGGCCTACTCGTTTCGATGTCACAGACACAAGTCGACTGCTGTGTTCCTGGATGAAGTTTTTCCACGAATCCGCAATGCTACATTGTCGAGGAGGCGCATTACTCCAAGGTAAGGGGTAAATTTACTGATTACTCCTAACCGTTGAAAAATGCTCCTTTTTTAAGGGAATGAGAACCTGTCACACCTGTTCCCACCCTAACCCCGCGGACGTTGTTCGCTTGTACTACGAACGCCCTATAATTCATAGATTTTACGCAAGATAAACTACAAGACCTTCGATTTAAGCATTGAAAATGCCTCACTGTTTTTCTCAATTTTTCACAAAGCAGTTGACCCAAACATGAAACAAGTGAATGGAATGTCAGTTGCAGTGAATATTATACACTGTAATCAGCCAATCTTGTGAAATTACGACAAAAAACCAATGGTGTACCGTGTACACCACCTTTAACTTTATAGAAAAAAAGGGACTTTACCTGGAATTATATAACTTGGTTGCAACAAGGGTGGATAGCCCATAAGTGTAAATAGACCTAAGAGATAAAGAAAAGTAGTATATCATTGTACTTACCGTATGTCTTATTCATCAGTACAGCATGTTTGAGAGCATTCAGCCGGGGTTGACTAATGCTCCCAGCCTTCGATGCTGACTGAAGCTTGTTCAAGTTGTAACCCCTCCAAGGTTGCTTGATAGTGTGGGCAGCTGACAGATGATGATCCCCTGCCTCATCTGACCTGGGGTCTATCCTGTGGTGTGACATAGGGACTTTTCTCCTGTTTGCCCATTGTTTAGTGTTACTGAAGTCCAGATAATGACTGACATTCCTGTGCAACTGGTGCTGCTTAAAACTAAAAAAAGATTGAAAAGGGTATAACTTGAACATTTCTACAACACAAATAAAACAAAATAATGTATCCCACATAGGCATTTGAAAAGCTTTTATTACAAAACACCATTTTTGGTCAAAAAAAGTAAGGGAAGAAAGTATTTTAACATGTCCGCACTAGAATTACCAAATTCCAAAGAAATCGAAACCACTTTTAACTCACATATTTACGATTTTCTGAAGCAAGACTGAAACTGTATTTTTGAAATGCCAAACTAATTTTTGGCTTTCAGTGTTAATCCTTGGCTTTGCCAGTGGCAAGAGCTACTCAGCCATAGTCAAATGTCAAAACTATAATGAAGAAATAAATGTTCTGTTCCTAAACGGCTCTGCATACATTTGAAGTTTTCTTGACTAAAACATCTTTCAAACTGCTGCAAGTAAAACCATTTAGTAAGTGCCTTACTTTTTCCATGCCCTTTGAATGGTGATTGCTGAGTCACTTTCCCTCCTCCAAACTGTGAGTCTCCGCCTCTCTCTCTCAACCACCTGTTGCCTATCCTCAGTTGACAATTGATGGGTGACAGTATTACCACCAGTGTGTGTACACCTGTCCTGTCCCCCAAGATGTCTCCTCTCCTCAAACTTCCCATGCTCTGTTCTTTTGTCACTTCCCGAAACAATGTCTGGATTACTGTTGCTGTTGTTTGAGTTTGCATTTGCAGTGCCAGCCCGAACGTCTGTATGGTTGTTCACAAGGGAAATATTATTTTCAGTTCTTTCTTGATTCCTCGCCATGATTTTTGCACCTTCTGATGACTGCAAATATAGAACGCTCGCAGTCTCCTGTTCTTTAACAAGATCATTCTTGTGCTCACTGCCTTTTCGTGTTTGTGATTCTCTTACATTAAGCTTGTCCAAGTTGTGCCTTCCCCTGTCTGAAGTGGTACGATCTGATGACTGGTTTTCATCTCTGACCTCTGACCTCAAGCTCCCATCCTCTCCTTTGATGTCTATATCCTCGTTGCTTGCTTTGCCAGCTGTCTGTATATCTGTTTCCCAGCATCGTTTCTTGGGTTGTCCCAACTCCAGTTCTGTTTCCAATTCACAATTGGTTTGTTCCAGTCGCAGTTCAGAAGACACTTCTTCAGTTTTTCCACTTTTCTCTATCTGATCACTGTTAAGTTGTCCTGTCTGGGCATCACAGTTTCCTGTGTTTGCTTTTAAGGTTTCTTTGGTCTCAATTTTCTTGGTCATTTCCACTCTCTTCCTACAAATGCAAAGTACACTGAATATCAGAAATGGCAAATACAACTGCTTTGTTTCCAAATTGACCAACATTAACCATGTCAGTTTTCAAATGTTCCACAGAAGCAAGAAATACCCCTTATTGGATTGTTACTTGAACCCTTCATTGTGTCTGAATATAATATTCATTTCATTTATTACAGTCATCCCAACAAATTTACATGAAAATTGATATTTCCATGTAATTCCCTAAAAAGGTTGTAAAATACAGTACAATGAATAATTACACAAAAGTATGACAACCAAACATACCGTAAGTTAGGACTATGTTACGCACAATTGAACAATTTACGGAAAGTACAACAAAGTAAACAAATTAGGGAGTGGTAATGAAAATGGGGGGGGGAGTAATAGGGTCAGGGATAGAGGGAAAGAGATAATAAGAACTGTGACAACAGGTTCGACAATGTGTGGGTTAGGGAAGGTTCAGAGTATGGTTAGAAATGCACCCCTAAATTGGCGTAATGCACCCTTTAGTTGGCAGACTGCACCCCTTAGATGGAAGAATGCTTAAAGTGCCAACAGGTGTTTCTACTGTCCCAAATTTGAGGTTCACTTACTTGGCAGCATCCTTCCTCAGCTGCTCATGCTTCATAAGTAACTTCTTCCTCTCAACAAACGTTTTGCGGACTCGGTATCCTCGGAAGTAGGCCTGTATCCGAATGGCAGCGATGTCACGGATGCCTGTGATGGATAGCGCCCCCTGCTCGATCATATACTGTGCAATGTGATGGTGTTCATTCAGCAGGGCATAATCAAGAGGCGTGAAGCGGTCCTCCGTGTACTCAATGTGGTTGGGGAAGGCACAGTGGTCCAGCAGTAGCTTGGCGGCATCCAGGTAACCAGAGCTGCAGCACCAGTGTAATGCAGTCATGCCCTATGCACAAACCACAACAGTTGGAAACCATTCAACATAGAAATGTTGTTACAGTTTGTACAGGGTAAACGTAACTACAACAGTGTCTGACATATGAGCATAAAAATGGCCAACAGACCTAAAACACAACAACATCACACACTGTTTACAGGTGCGCTTTCCTGCAAAGGCTCAATGGATCATGTCCCACCTTACTGCCATTAGATATAGTACACATGTAAGTAAAGTGTGAAGTGATCATGTTAGAGGTGTATTGGATTCAACTTTAGAAACTCTGTCATTTCATGTAGAAATATACTCAAAGCTTGAAATTAATAAGGGTCGATGACAACATCAGTTGACCAAGCTTATATGATCAAGAGTGTTGCCTCCATGGAAAGCATATCTGTCAGTGATTCAAACCTGGTATTGTGCTTTGTTTCATTTTGGAGACCCTGGAACTACCATTGTAGGCAAATACGGTAATTTTTGGAATATAAGCTGTGGCTTAAGCACTGATTCTCATGCTGAAAAATGTCTCTGTGGCTTATACACCAAGCGGTTTATACGGCAAACTTTGAAGCATAAAATCAGTCACAAAAGTAGGGTCTGGGCTACGCATACCACGTGCAGGTGGCGCAGTCTGGTTTTCGTTGGTTGCTGCTTACATCTGAGAACTCGAACCTCGGAGAATAAGTCAAAATTTGAGTTTTCCAGATTTCAAGTTTTTAATGAATTCCCTGAGTCACGGAGTCATGAAACATATGCATGAAATGTGACGGGCCTACATAATCTTAAACTTTACTTGCCCTGTGGCAACATTTTTTAGTGATTATTTTCCCGTTTTTTTTATTCAATCTCATGGTGTAATATTTGTAGACAAATAATCATTTTCCTTTTTTTTTATTGTCGTGACCTAAAGATTTCTTTCTACCGTTAACCCTAACAGTCCTCAGTCCTCCAACAGGTAAAAGATTGAGGAGTGTTAGGCTTAAATAAGCAAAAACTGCTTCAATGGTGTACATTCGTGAGGCAGATCTGTTTTCTTTTCGCCGATCGTGTTCAGCATGACATGCCACAGAATTTCAGGTTTTTTCACTTGGGTTTTCTGATGACAACACTTTCTGTGGTCACTTGGTTATCGGAAAGAGTTGGCGATTGGATTGTCCATGAATGGGTCTGCGGTAGCAGTCAGGCTAGCCTGAAAACAGGGTTTGTCACAATTGCGGTGATACGTTTAGAGCGTGTGTGCCATACTGCACGCAGCTTGCATGCAACACAAGCGGTTCCAATGTGATGACTCGAACCAAGGTCTTGTGGTGGATTTTTCATTTCTGAAGCAATTTGGTTGTGTTTTTTGATCGGCATCACAAAAACCTCGAGATAATCGGATGTAGTATTGTAGCCAGTTACAGAGGTATTTTTTAATAGCCTATTTTTTTGGCAAGAAATAGTCAACCTATGAGATAAAACGATCTTTCATTAACCGACTTTGAGTTACCGAGATTTTATTGTAAGTCCCTGACTACATAACTTTTGCGAGCCTCGGGAGAAAAAGAGGCAAGAGCTGATGTACGGCCCACACAGGACCACCATCCAGCCCGCAAAAAATATTAAGTTTTGAGGACTTAAAATTCACTTTTTATGGTGACACTCTTTCACATTTTGCTTACTTTTATTAGGATTGCATGTGTAGTGGAATCGTTGATGTACAGTACATGCTGTATTGGCACTTCAGCACGCAGCATGACGACCTTCGTTGTTGGATCATCACTGCTGCGGTGCGGCTTATACGCTGACTTTAAATCTTAATTTGCCGATTTTTGCATGCTGTGGCTTATACAGCGGGCCGCTTATACTCCGAAAATTAAGGTACATGTATGCTGCCTAACCAGTCCGCACAGCATGCTAGCGATGGAATGGACCGAGAACTGACATACGTGCCATGTTTCCTTGTACTGCAAGTCATCACGTTTGCTGATGAAGGCCCATAATACATGGCTGCTGATCGGTCAATATATGGAGGTCAAAAGGAAATGCTCTTAAAATAATTACAAGAGTTGCTCAGATATCAAAACGTGCTTGTATTCAATTGGACGTCGAGACTTACCTCGATATCCTGAGAATTTGGGTCAGCGCCCTTCTCAAGCAGCAAGGATATGCTGTTGGTGAATCCTCCATAACTGGCACATTGCAGCGGGGTTCTCCCATTGAAATCCTGGATGTTGGGGTCAATGCCCTCCCCAACCAGGATGGCACAGATACAGGTGTGGCCACCCAATGCTGCCCTGTACAAAAAATGACCAGGTACAAACAAAGGCACGTCTTAAATTTGGAAAACCCATAAACACATGATATGGAATAATTGTCACAAACCATCACCTCTGCATTTCAGATCTATAATTGAAGACATTGAACTGTTAAAGCAATTTCATATTTCACTCAATCTTTTTGATTGGCAGGTAAAATAAAAGCCATAAAGCTCTCCATAGACCCATATGTGTGCAGTAACAATCACAATCTTGTAAGGTTTTTATCAGCGTTGTACAGTCATTTGCAGAAGTTTAAGACCATCTTGAATTTTATTGGTATTTATGTCACTGGGCCTGCATTACATTGTCTCATTGAATGATTCCTTATGATGTTACAGTGGTGCATAACATCAGTGTAATGCTATATACCCATTTCAATGAAATTTTGTGGAAAGGTAGGTGTAGTAAGACATTTTGTCTGTAAGGCAGCATGGGTAAAAAAAGCCAGTCTAAGCAATTAGAAATATTAAAAGGAGGGAACACTGAATATTAGACTGTTAAGATGTCAAATCATGGAATGGTAGTCAAAAATGTTCAACCAAGGTACCAAGGTTACACATTGAAAATAAACATAAGTTGCCATGATTGATTGGTTTAAGTTTGGTTTTCCTTCAGGTTAATGCATTTCCTATGGGTGGTCCTAAACTTTTGCAAATGACTGTAGTGGAGACCATCACAAGACCAGTCACAAAACAGGGTGAACAATGACAAAGGAATGCTTCTGTTGCAGTTCATTTGAAGAGCTAGTGGCTTGAATTCAGACTGGAAGTCTTGTGTTGGTCTTGTGCTGAGTGTCTTGTGTGGTCTTGTGAGGGTCTTAAGTGGTCTCGACTACAGCACTGGTTTTTATGACGTTGTCTGTCTGGGTATTGATGGTTGTTCTGAAAAATTACTCATTCAAATGAAAACAGTACAACATGAATCGGAGGGGTTACTTCTTTCACAACAATGACGTTTCTAAACATACCAGTGAAGAGGTGACCGACCCTCTTGATCAATGATATCAACATGGGCACCACCTGTGATGAAATAAAAAAGACATCAGTTAGCCAAAAATGAAGGTGATTTCCTTCCGAACTTATACACTGTACTTACATGTACAAGCAGTCCAATGACAAATCCATACACACTATTTGGATTTAAAAAAACTCTTACAGAGAGCCAGCTTAATATTTCAAAAGGACAAGTCATTCAAGAATATAAACATGTTCAACATATTTGTGTTGACATGGGGCTGCCCTGATTGGGCTGACCTTACGCGCCTATTGCTATTTTCAAATGACCCCATTGCTATTTTCAAATGACCCCATTGCTATTTTCAAATGACCTCACTGCTATTCTCAAATGACCTCATTGCTATTTTCAAATGACGTCAGATGTGCTTCATTTTGAGCATATGCTGTGTGAATACCAAACTGGTTCATTCCAATTGCAGCAGCACCCAGAATAATTCAGCTGTATATTCAAAGTTGGCCAGTCCACCTTTAAGGCACCACTAGTCTGTGTAAATGGGCCCTTAGCATTTACGTGAATGGTCAGGAACATACCTTGTACAAGTGCTTTGGCCACAAGCGTATGGCCCATCTCTGCTGCCCTGAATAGTGGGGTATGTTTGGACTGATCCAGCATGTTCACATTTGCATCCAGCTATAAATCATTTCAGAAGAAACAATTCCTTGACATGGGTTTGCTCATCAATAATAGATTTCATATTTTTCAAAGATCTTAAAAAATTAATATATATGTAAACTATTCTGATGAATTCTGTTGATCAGCTCTTCTAAACTGAAGAAACAGATGCAGAGAAATTAGGCATGGATTTTGTTCTAAACTAATGGCTGTTTTCTAAATGGTTATGCCGGCCTTTCCAATCCTCTGGAAAGATTTTATAGGATTGAAACTGTCACACAGAAACTTGAAGCTAATTTTGAATGATGCACTCCATCAAAGTATTGGGCCTTGTGCTGCACAGGCTCAGCCATGCATAAATTTAGGAACCTGACATCATCCGCACTGCTCTAGGATACTATTCCAACTGCCTCAACACACTTATGGGAACTGTTGGAGGCTTTGAATGATTACGACAGGGGTAATCCTCCAATGAACACATCTAAGAAATAATCAAGGTTTTAAGGGACTGAAGCTATATCCACTTTTCACATGGAGGCAGCTGGAGGATTTTACAGGACTGACGTTACATTCCAGCAAAAACACCCCTTGGAGTAATGATTACGAATGTCTTACCTCTAGAAGTACTTGAATTGTGCTTGGATGGCCACACATAGCTGCCGCATGTAAGGCTGCAGAGAGAAGTTAAAAAAAATGAAAATTATTGGAGACATATGGTGTGTGGCCCATAGAAAGTTGCAAATCTTTTCCCACTATGTAATGATTACTTCATCAGGCTCAATATCAGCAGAGAAAATCTCATCAAAATCTTGAGATGGAGATATGTCAAATAACCAAAAAATGGTAGGAAGATTTACACAATATTCCATTGCACAGGTCCCCTGTGTTATACTTCTATGGTCCCTCATAACACTTGCTGAGAAATTGATTCTGTATACAGCTGCTGACCAAAAGGCTTGCCTACTACTGTGGTGACTTATCTCAGAAAAATTGTGTGGTCATGTGACATTCTGACTTCGTTTGATGACATTCCACTACATGCAGCTCACCTGTTGCACCCGTTTTATCTGTAGCATTGATGTCCGGCTGGCTGATGTCAACCATGCGTACAATCACGGCATCAGCACCTTTGCCAGCAGCCCACATCAGTGCGGTCCGCCCCTCCAGGTCTGGCTCATCCGTAATGCCATCACGACTCAGAAAAGCTGCCACCGTATCCTAATGGAACAAACACCATACAGCACTTATATCAGTTTGGTCAATTATGCTCAGTTCACACAGTAGTACACATACATTTGTCTTTTTCCGCACAATGTACAATGTCAGCCAGATTTGGACAGAGCAAAACATCAAAACAAGGTAGACGTACCTAAGTGCCTGACTGTTCAAACCTGGAACAGGTTCCAAATTATCTGCCTTAAGCAGAAACACCTTGAACCTGCGAAGTGCAGTTCCCAACAAAGGAGCCTCTGTTGCTAGGAAAATTGTGCCATCTCTTGGTCCTGCTTGGGGCTTATAGAGTTGAGCACTTGTAACCAACCTTACAACTTGCCTAGTAAGCTCTCCGTTTTACTAATTAATTTGTGATGTTAATTACGAGTACCTGATCCACAATTAAACCAGCTCAAGACGTGAACAGACAGGTTTTGGATATGAGGTTGCAAAGCATAGCCCTCGTACAAGTGTGTGGAAAATACTGATATTGATGCAATGAGCAGTGACGCATAGCAGCATACTATTAGTAATGGTGATAAAGTCACAATAATTACTTCAATTTGTTTTTCTTGTTTACTTACAGCATGGTTGTTCTGTGCAGCATAATGCAGGGGTGTTGCCCCGTTAGCATCTGAGCTGGTCACATTGGCACCTGCATCCAGCAAAAGGTCCACAATATGGGTGTGGCCAAGTACTGCTGCCCAGTGTAGAGGGGTGCGGAACATGTTGTCTAGAACTGACACATTGCACTTCACCAAGCTTGTCTAAGCCAACAACAACAAAAAATTAGAAAACACAAACTAAGGGAGCGTCTCATAATTCGGAACGTTCACATTGAAATGCCGTGTTCTCATTCCGAAACAGTCGGCCGTCCAGTCGCGTTCCACCTGGAATGCTGTGTTCATTTGTGAGAACAGTCCGACGGGAACACGCGTTCCTGTTGGAACATCCTCATTCGGGTAGCTTTATATCTCCCATGTACTAACCTCAGCCCAATGTCCCAAAACAGAGCCTGCCAAGACAAACGAGTGTAGGTAAACTACTTTGCTTTTATGATAAGCTTAATTTTGAATAAGAATTGGAATTAAACTGAAGATGGAAATATGATGTGGCAAATTTGTTAATCTGATACGGATATTTTGCTTTTGACTGAGATACAAAAGTGGAAAGCAATACCTGCTGACTGCATGGAGAATATATGTTGTATCACTGGGCTGTAGGCTTCAATACCTTAATTGCTTATTTGCCTCAGTCATGTCGTTCAACCTTTCTAGTGATTTTAAAAGACCTCTTCCCACACCCCTTCAATCACAGGTTACGTTTCCAAATTGTTTATGATATGATGGACTACTTCTGCACAGAAACAATGCCATGATAAACCCCTCTACCACGCAAGCCTGACGATGAGTAAAACACTCGCGGGTACAGACAATAACATTAAAACAATAAAATTACCGGTGTCCAGAAATATTCCCAAATTATTGTATGGTAAGTTATATGTCATGGTGAAAATGGAAACAACAAAAACAGGAGAAAAGTTAACCTTCATGAGGAGTAGATCACAAAATGCTGTGCCACGGCTGCCATGCTTCAGACATGGGGTCTAAAAACTGAATGCCAGAAATCTTCCTTCCTGATTGCAAATGTAACAGCTGGACCCTTCCGCTGAGAACATGCATTCCCAACGGAACGCTACCTAGAACGATCTATGCACAAAGTGGAACGATAGAACGCTAGCCTTACAGTGGTGAAGGGTCCAACGGAATGGGAATGTTCCTGATTTTTAGATGCTCCCTAACTCACTCTCAGAATCTCAATGAGGAGAGGATAACTTTCTTTCAATGAGACAGATCAGTATTTCACAAAAAAGCAAGGTAATTTAAGAACAATGCACCTGTTGTCATGCTTGATGCCCCATGAAACTATAAATGCAATGGAAGTGATCATACTAATAGGTTTCTACATGGGTAGTGTGGGTGGTATAAGTTGAATGCTTAGGAAAGGCTCTTCACAAAAATCCTTTAGGAGTGACAGATGAGCAATATTTGCCATTTGTCTCTTTTCATTTTGCTAGCCTTATTTTGACAGCAACTAACATTTCAATAATTCAACAATTAATTTTCATCTGAGACTGGTGGCAAGAGCAGAAATAAAAGCCTGAGCAGTATGAGCAAGTTCCAGTGATAATTATGATTAACTTTAGTTTGACCTGTATCACTGGAACGATGGAAGGTTGGACTATCGTTTTGACAATATTGGAACCAGGTTCTGGGCACAGTTACACAGCTAGGTTATCATTAGCCTTTTAGGTAATTACGTGTGAGTACAGAGTGAACCTTTGACATGAAAATAATTGCAGAAGAGCATAGAGACCGCGAACGCAAGGGGAGAGGCAACCAAAGGCAAAATGTGAGTATTTGAGTGACGATAGGATTCACAAAAACGGTTTGACTATTGTCATGTGAGTGGAGCAGTACTGTGTGTGCAGTGCATATAAGGCAAGACTTTAAGTTGGTGCTTGGATCCACCAACATCCAGATTCAAAACTGGAAAAATAACATTTTTTATGTTGAGAAGTCTCGGATCCGCTGACCAACAATTAACCGATATAAATATAAAACAAAAATTCTTTTTTGCTCCACTGTCTGACTAATGGCCAAGTCCCCACTTTCAATTTTGTGTACTGTGGTCCTTGGTGGCTAGCGCTAGTGGAAAGGGATACCTCTTTTTTTTCTTTCCATTTTTGGACAAAACTTTTTTAATTCTTCCCTACTACTTGAAGACCCTTATTTGTTTTTCTTAAGACCATAGAAAATCCTTTTTGTTCTGTCCTCCTCTAAAATTTGTCTTACAAAAAAATGACCACCAACTTATGAAAAATGCTTGCCTTGGCGAGAGGCAACTGACAGAAATGGCAATGGTCAAATTATTCTAATTGCTTGAACTTGCTCTATATTGCCTAATTCTGTTAAACCTGGAGATAAAAATTCCTTTAGTTCACAATAACTAGCTTTGCCTGAATCTAATGCACACTTGATGCTTGAATGCCGGCAACAGAGTGCAAACCCTTGAACTTTACATATCAATTTCTCTGCATGGTTCATTATTAATAAAAATTACTAGAATAATTTATACAGCGCATTTTTCTGAAGGTTTCAATGCGCTGGGAAAAAAGCAACTGCAGGAAAGTAAACCACGTGCTAAGACAAAATTAGTGGGAGCAGATGACCAAAACCTAGAGTGGAAACAGATGAGATTTAAGTTTACAATTGAACTGTTGTAGGGAGTTGCAGTTACGAATACTAAGAGGTAACGAGTTCCAGCATCTGGGTCCAGCAACAGAAAAGCCCTATCTCCTACTTTTTGAATGTACGTGGTATTTTTAGGTTGTGTTTTGAGCGGAGGTTACTTCGGTTAGGTTTGCTGAGATCAAGAGAGTTGGTTATGTATTGAGGATGTGTGCCAGTTAGAGCTTTATATACATTGACGGCTGTTTTAAAGATGATGCGTTTTTGAACAGGTAACCAGTGTAGTTGTTGTAGAAGTGGTGACGAATAGCAGTGTTTGGGTTGTGTGAATATAATCCAGGCAATGTTGTTTTGAAGTTTCTGTAAATGATTTATGTCAGAGTGCTTCATTCCATTAAAATCAAACTCACCTGGAAGTTGATTAGCTGCTTGGCTATGGTCTCGTTGCCCTGGGCAACAGCCAGATGCAGGGCAGTCCGACCCTCGTAGTCCTGCCACGTGATCACACTGGGCTCTGTCTCCTGGTAAGACCAATGACAAGTGAATTGTCATTACAAATAAACTACACCTACAAAGGGGGCTATCCACAAAGTAAATCTGCACAAAATACTGTTTTTTAGACCCCTTTCCCTCATTACACAAAGCATAATACAAAGATATTGGTCAAGTATAACACTGTTTATAAGTTCAAGGGGCTGAAACAATTTTGTTTCTTCCATTAATAGCTAAAGTGACATTCAAAACACTGATTTGACACGGCTAGGGTGCATGGCACAAAGCCGACATCCTGAGGAAAAAAAACAAACCCCAAAATATGACATACATTGCAAAAAATTGACATCAGCTTCCCCTCGTGATGGGATTTAACCTAATGATGAATTTCCCTGGATCTATGTTATGACTGAGGCTTATTTTGTTATGTAAAAGTTTTCTTCCAAAGGTAACAAGTAGTTCTATGATCCACAAAACTGGTTCGCGGTCAACCCAATAGTAGAACTAGGTCAGAACTGACCAGTATAAGCTGCACGGTGTTGACGGCAGACGTGTCATGACCAGCACTCGCAGCCCAATGCAATGGCGTCTTGCCATCAACGTCAGGTATGCCAATGTTAGAATTCTGCAAGAAAATGACCAAGACACAATCCACTGACTGCTACAAAAACGTGTGTATTTCTTTTCAAATCCTGACAAGGAACTACAAGGCTTAGGACTTTGAAAAACCTGGAACACTAATGTGACAGGTATAAATTCATGTCTGAGAGACCTGCGGTTCAAGTTAACTGTCTATGGGTGCTGACACTGACCACTGTGACCTGAGGCACATCTGTACCATGAACATTATTTAGGTAGTAGGCAGGTTTCCAAAGCTTTGGTAAAGGGCAAAAAATCTTGGTAAACTTGGAGCCAGTTCAACAATGATAACTTTATACAGTACAAGAGGTGACCATTCAGCCATTTGATAAAGAATTAATTGTCATAGTAGATGGCGTAAGTCCTATGTCTTCCTTTACTCTCTTTAGGAAGCAGCTTAGTAAATGCTTGTGTTCTCATTTATGGATTCTAATGCTTAGACTGAACCCTGTCAGCAGGGCAGAAAAGACAGCTGGTTTCTTCATTGGACAGTCTCAACCATAGAAGTGATTCCTTAGGTATCCAATCAAAATGATACCTACGTGTTTAATAAGAAGCTTGACAGCCTCTTCATTCCCATAGGAAGAACTCCAGTGTAGGGCAGTCCTCTGTGAGAATAAAGTTCACAAGAAAATAAAAATTCTGCTCTATTTACAACAAATTAAGTACAACAAAATATCTGACTTGCTACAAACATGCAACTGGGAACTGAAGGGGAAAAAAAAGATTTCCAAATTACGCAACACGTTGTACAAAGTTAACAGTAGGTACACAAGAAGTACATACATGTGCATGACAAATGAAGTGTAGTTTTTAATCCCTTTTTCTTAACCCACTGAGTTGTGAGTCAACTATATTTGTAATCAAGATCAGAAATGTTCCTGGTACATGTACATGCCGTTGCTATTGGTTCCAGTATAAGGTTGTCAATTCTTCTGCATTTCATTACTTCTGTGTTGAGAACATCAATGCTTTCAGTTTTTCTCTTAATGAGCCATTTCGGTATTCCAACAGTGCATGCTCAGTGTGAGGCTATTTGGAATGGCTAAACATGCACTTGACCTTTTGTCCTATCAGCACAACCTACACTGACTCACACAGGTGCTTTGTTCCTGAAAGACCTTGGCTTTTAGAAATAATGGACTGGCTCACTGCTATGACATTTACCATGTACATAGAGCATGATTCCCACCTTTGCATTGTCCTGTTCATCTTGTTCCCCCGGCTCCAGCTGTTTAATCAGCAACATCAGACATTTGGTGTTGTCATGGCGAGTTGCTAGGTGCAATGCCGATTGTCCTTCCCTGTCTTTTATCCTCCAGTTAGCTCCCTTGGCTAGAAGGAGCTTGCAAAATCTGAGGTTACCCTTTAGTTAGACAAAAAATTAACATAAAATTACCTTGACAATACTCCCCAGGAATGGAAATCAATCACATATATCTTTTCCTCAATCTGACACAGTGCATCAAACTATTTACTGAAGCTCTTCCTTTCTTGATTCTGCTAAAAATCTCTGAAAAATTCTAAGAGGATTTTGAAGGACCTGGAAGAGTTGGGGCAATAACTTCCTGAATATGGGTTTCCACTGGCAGTTTATACAGAATGTACGGTACATGTGCATGTACATGTAGCTTGGACAAGACACACTACATGAAGATAGAGGCTTTCTGTGCCTATGATATCCATGTAGAACAGGTGCAACCAATTAATGAAAATGGATGTCTTTCACACAGGTGCCAGGTGTCTAGTCTAGCCTTTCCCTACTTGCCACTGAAGGTGTACATGTACGGATAATGCACCAGTGTTTCAACTAAGTCATTTTTCTACAAGTCAAAAATGTTTTCCATAAGTCAAGTCACAAGTCACCTTTTCCCAAGTCGAGTCAAGTCCCAGGTCATTTTTTCAAGCCCATATGTATCTGATGTCAAAACCGTCCATGACATTTAAACATGTTCGCACTGAATGATAGCAAAAGCAAGATCTTGCAGTTCTCATCACATTTCAAAATGTAATTCTCCAAAAAGTAGAGACTGAAGTGCCAATAGGGCTGCCTGTATCATATCATCTGACAAAGTTTGAGATCTTGGGGTTATAATGGATTCAGATGGAACCACAAACACATTTCTAGTTTGTGTAAGGTGGCATTTCACTCGTTCACTATGGTGCAGTTGTAAACTGTTTTGCAAAATAGGTCTAACCTCTTTGCCTCGTTCTGCATCATAATATGCTGATATTTTGTATGGGCAGCTTTTGTGCAAATGCCAAGTCACAGAGATATTATTCAAGATTGTATTTATTTCCTAGGTTGGTAATATCAAAACGTCAAATTTGTCCGAGTCAAGGCACAAGTCTCTTTGTTGTTAGTGAAGTCTCAATTTAAAAAAAAGTATGATTTGTTTTTGACTTGAGTCCAAGTCAGCAAATCAAGTCGACAACAATGAAATACAGGTTCCCACCTTGTACGCTGCCCAGTGGAACGCAGTCCTCCCAACACTGTCAATGCTGTTGATATTGGCTCCATGCTTAATGAGAAGCTCAGCGCATTCCAGTCGGTCAGCAAGTACAGTAAGCATCAGTGGAGTCCGTCCAAACTGATCCCCAGCATTGATATCATCATGACTATCTGTGGTCAATGTAGAATCACGCACATTGAAAAAACATCACTCAGATGTAAAAATGAACAGTTGTCAGATGCCTTCGGATGCATGCATGTGCACACATTCACAAACATACAACTGAAAGTTGATCATTCCAAACTGCTGGATACATGTGATACTCAAATGGGGAGGCGAAGCTGACAGTGGCCTGTTGGTTAGGAGTTGTGACTCCTTGTCAGAGGTCCACGGTTCAACTTAGCAGCTGGCAACACATTTTGACCTTTGTTAAGTCACTTTATTTACCCCCACTTGCCTCTTTCCACCCATGTGTATAAATGGGGGCAACTGTGAGGGCTGAGATAATATCTGCACTACTGGCTGCTGAATGGCCCTGCCTGATGAACTGGATAATAACTGAGACTACTGGTCCGATGGAAAGCACTAAACAAGAGTCTCCTTTGACAAATGCAATGCAATGCCACCTGTAAATTGGACTGTCAGCTACTTGCCAGGAGCGCCCACAGTTCCACAGTACCAAATATACATGTATATATATGCATGAAGTAGGGTTATTACATCTTTAATAGCTACAACAGTATTTTTTTTATATAACGGGTTTTGCCCTTACCCAACGTGTATATTAATAACAACAAACACTGTATGCTCAGTGCTTGTCCGAGAGCTTGCGAAGTCACAAGCTTACTCGCTTGCAACAGTATCCACGTCAAACTACATGTACGTGTATGGTGTTGCATCACATGTTAAATTTGTGCACAGTGTTGATGCAAATTCCATTTTGGTTTTATGGGAATTAATAAGCATGATTTATTTTACTTCACTACACATGGGCTCAATATGTATGCAAGAAAATTTGGTTCACACATGAAATGGGGGGAATATATTTCGTTCACCTTTGTTACAAGTACAATCCAGTCCGTAGATCTATCAATACGCAAAACTATGATGTAAATGGATGGCACCCCATGTACAGGTAAGAACTTACTGTTGAGTAGTTTACTAAGTGCACTCTTGTCTCCGTTGACAGCAGCAGCATGTACGAGTGTGCTCTGTGCTATCCCTCCTTGGAGGGATGCACTGGATCCCATAATGCCTTGCTGCTGTTGCATTGTGGGGCCATTGTCACTGGCAGGCATGTCAATTCCTTGTTCTGCGTGCACACGTCCACTTCTCATCTGTGAACAAACAAGTTTCAATGCCCGGCTCAGTGTCTAAATGCAGGCTGAAAAGGACAATAACACACAAGGATTTCACTTCCAATGTAGATGTAATTTCACGTATATTACTGTGCTAATATGATGAATGACACTACATGAAGTTATTTAATAAATTCAAATTGTCTGCAATAACAAAAAACCTCTGGATCACGTCCTTAACGACTTTCTACCAGCATCTCAAAAAGCAAGCTCAATTTTAATAACAATCAAATTCATGTATACATTGTGATAAACCTACACAGTGCTCTAACGCAAGGGACGTGTATGTAAGTGTAAGAACTAAGATGAGGGAATATCAATAAATGTACGTGTAAATACCCAAAGTTAACAGTACTTACTCTAAAGCATTTGAAGAAATTAGAACACATTTCAACTACTCTTCTACAAATATCAGTACAACCAATAAAGAAGTTTGCATTGTTGGTACAGTGCTCTTACAACAAGTGCGGTATGTGCAAGAGGGAAAAAATGGAGAATTCCTTCAGCTTCCATCCACAGCACTTCAACTGAACCAGGGAGGTGGGCAAAGTTGTACAAACTTGCAGACACCTCTGTGGTTAGATATGACTCAACGAGTTGATATTTTAGGTTTAGTCATTGGTGCACACAAGACTTAGCAGCCCTGAGTGATGATAGGAGAATCCGCTACTGACAGTTTTTCATTGTGCGTTGCTAGCCTGTACAGGAGCAGGCTTTTCTTGTGGTGGAGACTGTTGTCACGCTACAGTGATTTCTAAGCTTAAATGTCAACAGAGTGGAAGGGTACTGAAAGGCTTTACAGTTTTCTGGTCTTTATTTCTTGCGCAAAATAAAAACCTCTGGGTATTACATTCACAAGGTGACAGGCTGAACTACATGTAGCAAATGTGGATTTACATGGACTTACAAAATTTGCCTGAACAGGAGGGTTCAAAGTCCACCATTTTCCAACTGAAATTAAATTGTGCAGAATTTTTGTTTTCCTATTTTCCATATTCAAATAAAATATACATCATCAAGAAATAACTCCTGTACTTGGCTTCGAAGAAACAATTTTAAAAGTCCTCATGGCTGGCAAGTACATGCACATGTATTGTGAACATACTTTTTGCATTGTTTGCATTGATAAATTTTCTTGTATGCACTTCTGTGCAACACTTTCCTTTGATGTATGAAAGCCTACTGATATTTTGGGGGTTGAATGCTGGGAACATTGCACTTTTTAGAATCATTGCTTTTCTGGGAAAATGGGGGCACTGTTGCCCTATGATGTCATGCAGGGAAGATGTTGGTCACTTTATGTGTTTTTTTTTACGAACGAAGAACTTTTGAACACATTTCTGAGAAAGTGTTGCTGTGTTACAGGCACACAACAATGAATCACCAAAACAGCATAGATTTAAATTTAGAACAGCTAAAAAAGTGTCACAGGTTCCTGCACTGCTTTGTTTACAAATCAATGCAGAATGAAGGTTTTCCTTCTAAGACATCATCACATACATGTACACTGTATTGAAATTTATATCAGCATAAAATCACAAAGACACTATACCTTGCCAATGAAATTAACTTAAACCAAAAGTTGTCTTTTTTCATTGTTTACAGTAAAAAATCCCTTTAAATTACATACATGTAGGCATAGAGAATCATTCAGCTTATCTATTTTGAAGAGGGCTTAAAAATTTCATGTGTAGCTTACTGCTACTTCCTAAGAAACCAGGCAGCTTCAATTTGAAATGTTTTTCTTGCCCTGTATAATATGACGGTTAGAAATAACTATTCCATTTTGTTCTTACATGTACACAGTGTTCACAGTTCGTACAGTTACAGTTCTACGTGTATTTTTACCTGCAGTGGCTTCGTACAATGGTGTACAAATGCTTGCCCCATCCAACCTTCATTTTACACAGCACCACAGATCTGTAAAACATAAAATAAGTTTGAAATATGAATTACAGAGGTTGGCAATATGCACTCTATGTTTGACCGTACACACTCTGGCAGTATTCTTTGCTGTAGCAAAGCACTCTCCATATTCAAGAATAAGTTACAAAAAATACAAAACTACTGCAAACTGCTTGCTGACTACAGTGACCTAAAATACAAATCTCAAAATATGGAGGGCCTCACGTTTCGATCCTGGCAGAATCTTTCTCAAAGGCCCTCCATATTTTAGTAACAATAAGTGAGCTTGAGAGGTTAATAAACTTTTAGCCTCCCAATTCAATGCAATGATTCCTATATTTAGTTAAGAAGTCGGAAAGAGTTCCTACGGATGCCACTTTGAAACCCCATGCACAAACCCTATGATGAGACTGGTCTGAAAAATTCTAAGTGTTTTCCAAGTAAACCCACCTACATATAAATTGAACTTTTCTGGACATGTTTTTGCTTTCTGAAGACTAATAATAGATCACTATAGGGAATAACTACAGGTGTCCATATCATGTTCATTGTTCAATGCCACAAGCACTCCTGGTACATGGTATGACATGGCATGGCCATTGGAATTTTTAAAAGTTGTAATTGTGATCAAGTAAATAATTATAGGCCTATCTCGGTTCTTACTACTTTTTCAAAACTTCTTGAATGAATAATTCACAACCGTATAATGGACTTTCTAGGTGAACAAGGCATAATTTCTGACTCTCAATTTGGAGTCCGTGAAAACCACTCAACTTCACGTGCTATCATTCACCTAATTAATCAAATACCTAATAATTTAGATGCATCCTCTGTTACAACTGGTTTATTCCTGGACCTCTCCAAGGCCTTTGATACAGTCAATCATAATATACTACTAAACAAACTTGCTGATTATTGCATTTGAGGAACCGCCTTGGAGTGGTTCAGGAGTTACCTTTCAAATCGTCAGCAATTTGTATCTGTTAATGGTACTCACTCCTCTGTGGGTACAGTTTTTCATGGAGTTCCGCAAGGATCCATCCTGGGGCCACTTTTATTTTCCATATATATAATGACTTTGTTCAATCTTCCGATTTGTTTACCTTTATTTTATTTGCTGATGACAGTAACCTATTCTATAGTTACCCTAATATTAATACTCTTTATTATAATGTTAATCTCGAGCTTACTACAGTTTCAAACTCACTTAAAGCAAATAGGTTGTCTCTTAATATTAGGAAGACTAACTATATGCTCTTTTGTAATAAGCAACATCACGAATTACCTGAAATCTTTATTGGTGATGTACAAATTGATAAAACCGATTGTCAAAGTCCTAGGTCTGTAAATTGAACAGAATCTTTCACGGAAAAAACAAATCAATAATATTTGCACAACTGTTTCAAAAAATATTGGAGTAATACATGTATGTAAACTAAAGCCATTTCTCCCTCAGGATGCACTATTCAAACCTTACAATACTTAAATTGTACCATATCTATCATATGGGGTATTAGCCTGGGGTAATTGTAGGGCAAGTTTAACAAATAGAATACTGAAACTGCAAAAAAGAGTTTTAAGAATGACCCACTCAGCCGCCTACCTTGACCATAGTACTCTACTGTTTTATTGTACAAAACTCTTAAAGTAAATGATATATTTCCTTCAGCTGGTACCAGTTAAACACTAAAAATTACCTAAATCCCATTTGTTCTATGTTTATAAAAAATGAAGAAGTGCACCATCATTTCACCAGACAGCACATGAAACTTCATCATTCTTTTGCACATAGGCCTACTACTCTTACACAAAATACAGTCAAGCATGAGGGCCCAGGCTGTGGAATTCCCTGGACACCTCTATAAAAAATCTCAGAGGGAACCTACTAACATTCAAGTATAAATATAAAGCTAAACTATTAAGTGGTTAATCAAATTCTACTTAATACCATTTAATTTTTGTGTCTTACAGGGTTACAAGACTTAGTGTTTACATGTCCTACTGTCTTCTTGTTTAATCATGTTAATTGTTCGTCATTATTATTGTATTGATGGTAATGGGATCCCTACTCGATAAGCACTGCTTCTATGGAATCCCACCTACAACCATTTTCCTTCTTGTCATAAATTTACCGTATATAGTACGTGGAAATAAATTAAAGAATGAATGAATGAATGAATGAATGAATGAATGAATGAATGAACGAAGGAACGGTCCAAGTTGACCGGTGAGTGACTTTAATTTCAGTCTGTGTATGGGTGCAGTTAATTCTCACCTTATATTTTAATCCAGGAAGTCCCAATTACTAATGAGTAACCATCAGTAAAAGAAGAAAGAAGTAAATGTCTTAATTTCTTCAGAGAATATCCATTTAAAATTAAAGAGTCGAGTCTTCAAGTTCAACCAGTCATTAAATCAAACTGTACAGGTTGCCGGTTGCTATGGGCGCATCCATTTTTGAAATAACACCCCAAAATCTGTAGAGGGCGCTCGTTCATTAAAAATGATCCTTTTTCAGGGAGGGAATATTTTGAACACGAAAAGCACCGGGCACCCAAAACATAATGAATATATAAATATACAAATGACGACAATAAAATCTGAATAACTGGCTGCATTTCAAAATACTTATCAGAAAGTTACATGGGAAAACACTTTAAAAAAGAAAACAAAAGTAACAACTGTGCCTTAATGCTAAATTAGTTTTGTTTCAAGGCCTATCAACAATTGTCCACAAGACTACATGACTGCAGTGAGCCACTTCAAGCTACCCACGAGCAATTCTTAAAAAAAGGACCAGTTTTTCTTAACTTGTACTTTTTTCCAAGTAATGAGTGGGGTCTAGTTCTTTCATTTCTTGTTTGTCTAGATGGTGTTCTCATTGGAATAAAAATCTAGGAAAACGTTTCAAAACATCAAATGCTCATTTTCAGCAGTAAAATGTATCATATAAAAAGTATACACAAAATAAAAAGTGGTCTTAACTTGAGTAGTAAATGTTGTTTTTCATCATGGGCAAGTCCTGTATAGCTATCATGATTAACTTTCCCAGTGGGTGTAACATCTAAAACTGTGACTGATGAGTCCTTTGATTATTTTCTAAAAATGACTCTTCATTATTTGTTCATTGAATGTTTTTCTTTTTTTCTTGGTCGAGAGTCAACTCACATTTATGGTATAACGAATTAATGTTAAAGTTTTAACTTTTTGTTCTGTGAAAGACAATAAATTTTGACAAAGTGAATATTAAGATTTGCTGCTTAAACAACATATGTACAAGTATTAATCATCCAAGGCTTACATTTTATACAGTTGGATCAGATTTTGTAAAGACAAACTCTCAAGAAAATGGGACGGGCAAATGGCAGACATTACAAATATGCCATTCTATTCTTGAGATAATGTACATTAAGCTGTTTTTCTATTTCAATATTTTTCTTAAGGATGTATTCTTGGAAAGAACTTTGTTAAGCCTACATGGGCAAAAAATTTGTCCCAAAGACTGGGACACTTTTCCCCAGTTCTTGCTGGGTGGTACCAGTATATTGTTTAAAATAGATACATGTATAATCAAGAGTGGATCCAAAACAGAGTTTCTTTTTTTGTGGGGGGGACGTCTCTTTTGGAGCCTAAAGTTTTGAATTTTTATGTATTCTTTATGGCTCTTTGGAGAAAATGCTGTCGGAAAAGTCAATGAAATCATCTTCCCTCAGCTTGATCGTTTGATTAGTGCTTTTATGGGGAGGCCCCTGTTTTCCTTGGATTTGTCAATTTGTGCAAGTACATACACACATGCTTCTTGAAGGAGAAAAGAAGGTTTATGAAAGAACACATGTATGGGTGTATTGCTTCCAAAATCTTAAATTAAAACCAAAAACAACTCCCCTAAAAAAATTCCTAAACAACACACACACACATAAAAAGGACAAATCCCCCACCAAAGCCAATAAGAAACAAAAAGGTGTTACTAAACGAAAGCAGTCAGAAAAAAAGATGAAGAATTTTTGTGTGAGCTTATAGCACATTTATTTGACCGCTTAAAATTCCAAACACAGAGATGTAAAGGTGGAGGGGGTAAAAAAGCAAATCAAAGCAAACAGAACAAAGAAATGCTGTTGGTTCCAAGGGCTGCTATTCTACAAATAAGAAAAGGGAAAATACAACAGCAAAATAACAGAATATGAATTAAAGGAACACAATTACTGTAAAAATGGCTGAAGACACTACAAAAATTATATCAACAGGAAAAAAGCAAAAACTAGGATTAAAAAACTGAATACAAGTATGTATTGTACATGAAGCTATTTAGATAATGCACTAATGATAATCAATACTATCAAACGGATGTGTTTCTCCACTGGAAGCACGTTTTAGAATTTTTCTGTTCTTTATTTGGAAAGTGTCTTTCAGCTTCTTTGCATTTCAGCTCCAAAATCTGGTTTCCTTTACAAATTAAGAGTACTTTTCTGTAATGAATTAATTTTCATTCAATC